TACAGCATTGAAGTTCATCATGTCAGCGACATAAATCAATTTTGTTTTTTTTTTGCCTTATAAGTGACTGTCATGTAGTTTTATACTTGAATAGTGTTTGTGGAGTTCACACAGATGGATTGCTCATCTTTATCCATCTATTCTTTCATGGAGTTTGCGACAGATTTGTCTTGTAACGAAATTTCTCGTACGAAATCTAATAAAAAGGATATCTTAGAATCTTTCTGGTTATTTCGTTTCAGAGAGCGTGCTTATGAGATGTTCATGCATGGATATCATTCGTACATGACTTATGCTTTCCCTGCTGATGAACTAATGCCACTTTCATGTCGTGGGCGTGTTAGAGGAGTTACTCCCAGTCGAGGCGATGTTGACGACTCTCTTGGAAAGTGAGTTGTTTACTCTATTTTAGTTTTATTCCATAATTTAGTTGGCAAGAGTTATCCTGGAAATCGTCATGTTTAAAATCTTCGAATTTCTGTGGTCAAGTTTCTTTGCCGTACTCCAGTAAATGTTATGAATTGGGAATGGTTCTTGTTTACTAGTGCCATTATCACTCCACCTAACTGAATTTTTTCAGCTTTTCACTCACGCTTATCGACACTCTGGACACATTAGTAGTTGTGGGTGCTTTAGACGAATTCGACCGAGCTGTAAAATTGGTGGTAGATACTATTCGCCTTGATTCCGACCTCATCGTTTCTGTATTTGAAACCAATATTCGTGTTCTCGGAGGACTCCTTTCTGGTGAGCAATACCGTCTACACTTAGCACATCAAATGTGATGGTTGTAATATCATGCCTGATCTGGTTGGTTTTGGCCTGAAATTCAAAAACTACCCTGATGTACTTTAATGCTGTCGAGTATATTGATTTGTTTAAATGTTTTAGAGTTATCCTAAATAGGTTTTTAAGTGAAGAGTCAGTTTCGTACTGAATTCAGGCAGAAATATGAAAGTCCCGCATTAGTTTTTCAATGTCTTACTTGGCAAATTTCAACTCTGATACGATTTATATTCGA